ATCAGATTCAGGGAGGTCTACATTTCCCAAAGACATATGACTTCGTATCCAGGTTAATAAAAGAACTCAAGTTTCCTAATACCCAAGTCAATGTGGCAGCCTAGAAAACAGTAAAATGTAACCAAAGGACAGAGAGCTACATAAAGAACAGCCTTCCTTTCAATGACACACTTTGTGATTTTAAAAAAAGAACCAGGAGGCCTAATTATAAGAAAAATCACCCCCCACTTTCTTCTCTGGACAGACAGAAATAGGTAAGGGTAGCATAATGACAATTCTTGCAAACTCCCAGTCCCTGTAAACAGTTTTTAGTATCCCCATAATTAAATGAAAAGGCAAAAAACACCTTGCTGCATCTATAAATCAGAGGGCTACAGTCAATGGTTTCCATGAAACAAAGTCTATACAAAACAGCCCTGAAAGCAGCATATATTTTAAAGACATCTTGGTGCCTTCTCAATTTGTTTTATAAATTGTTCTGACTACACAGGTAACTAAGACCAAAAACAGAATTTTTGCAGCTGCTCGTGATCTGTGTACTAGAAAAGATAGATTTATATCTAAATGCCTTACCCTCATTTACAAAAGCAACATTTAGGTCATTGAGAGGGGGGGGGAACTCCTACACTTGGATAATGAAAAAAAAAATGTCACTGCATGTTGCTTGGTAAATACAACAAAGACATCCTGCAGAAATGAATGCATAGCCTCACTCAGACAGCTAGTGCAAGAACACCAGGGAGAGATGCTGACCAAGTCTCTTTATCTAAAATAAAACAAGCCCTCACACTCATCCAAGGAGAACTTAGAAAACAAGAGTGTGGAAATAGTGAGGAGAAGACAGAGACAATACTTCCATTTGCTGGTTTTGGTTTTATATTCTAATTCATTCATCACTTTTACTTTTAAAAGAAAACCTTAAAAGAACTTCACATCTCTCACATGCGCCTGTCACTTTTGTTTCTGCACATTCCTGGTTTGACATGTGTTAATTACAATCAATAATCAAGTATCAGCACGTGATGGGAAGTGATGGGCCCAGATTTAGGAAAATTTGATCTCTACTTTGGTCATTAAGCATCATTTACTTGAAATAGTCGGTTTTTCTCTGGCTTATAAAAGTTGGTGGGAAGGCAATTCTCTTCTCAGGAACAAATAAATTCAGACTATAACTACAGTAAGCAACTGTGCTGGGATGGAGACATACATAAAAATCTCCCTTAGTCCTCACAACCACTACCTGAGAAAAACCTTTATAAGTAGTTTATAAACATCGAACAGATTACAAAATGGAAATCTCAAAAAGTCTAACCATTTGCCTAAGGTCATTTGTCTCACAAGTGGTAAAACAAGAACTGGAACCTAAGTTTTTAGAAGTGAGAACCTAGAATCCTCCCATTAACCCTATTTTTAGGTACTCACCAGAGATGGAAAAGGAAACAGAACATGCAAGAAACCTCTGAAATTGACAGAGTAGCTATTTGGGCAGGTATTGCTTTTAATGTGATTAAAGTGGTGGTTAAGATTTTAATCTCCTTTCATTGAAGAACAAAGGTGACTCACAATTTGCTATCTTCAAATCAGCAGTTAGACTTAAATAAAATTTAGCAATTTTAATTGGTTTGGCACAGAATTTCAGATTTCCATATGGTTATTTTCCTTGTTTTATGTTAAATGTAATCGACTTAGCACTTTAAAGTCTTGGCAGAATGTATCAATTAAAAGCTACATAAATTAGAATGATTCAAAGGACACATTACAAATTGAGTGATCATAAGGACAAGACTTTAAAATGCTCTTTTTATAAATATATTAATTTTTCTATAAAGCAAACTTACGTTGTCACCCATGCGACAAACTTCATAGACAAAAAAAGAGAGATTTTTCTCTGAATAGTGAAAGCAAAAATTTTCTTTGTTTCTTCCCTGAGAGCTTCAATGTGCATAAAATGGCCTTTTCTACAGTTGCAAGACAAATCTTTCCTATCTCAGTATTTCAAAAACTGACAGCAGTCATGACTACTCTCGAAACCTGTGCAGAGACTACCAGGTAAGCAAAACATGGATAAATGTGGCATTGGAGCATATTAGGATAATGGCACCTTGAAACAAATCTTCATTGGTGTCATAATATGACATCCTAATTGTTATTTAATATACCACAGTGCTATGTTTTTTAAAAAGTCTATGCATTGAAGAAGATGCTCTTTCTAAGCATCTCCGAAAGAACCACAATTTCCTTCAGAAACAGTAAAATCACACCATATAAATAAAATACAGTCAAAGAGAAATCCGAAAAATGCAAAATACATCCATTTCTACGGATGTATGATGAAATTTGTTGTCTCAATTGCTCCTCATGACTATTGCCTGTGTAATTATTTTTCAAACACTGGAGTCCATCACATATGCTAAGTAAATGAAAGAATCATTCATCAAGCCCCAAGTGGTTGTTGGTAGAATTTTCACTTATTTATCTTGATTGAAAGGCTAAAATGCCTGGTTGTTCCCTTGATTCTTGGAGAGCTGTGTTATTCGAGTTAAAGTCCTTTAAAAACTATTGTTAAATTCTATTTTGATATGTTGGGTAATGAAACAGTACTGGATCAGTTGGCCTATAACAGAACTTGAGTAATGATGCCATGTTTGTTTAAGGGACTATTTAAACTATTGAATACCAATAGCTATTCCTCCCTGGTAAAGATAACATTAAACTAAAACAAACAAACACCTGGATCCTACTTCTTAGAGTTCAGTTTCCTTTTGCTATTCTCTATCCATGCAGAGTTGCATGGAAAATAACTTTGTAACTTTTGGATCCAAAGACTTGACAATGTGAAAGAGAATCTAATCCCTTCCTTCATTACCATGGATTATTGTATTGATTTTGTGCAATTTCCAGTGTCTTCTTGTTTTTTCAGAGACAGGAATGTGGAATTGTTAGAAATAGCCTTAAAGGAAACCTTGAAGGTCATTAGATCCTGAGCAATGAATGCCTTCATTCAACAAGAGCAATGCCCTCTCTCCCTGCAAGCCCTTTAACACCAGCAAGTTCCCCCAAAGGGCCTGCACTTTAACTTGGTCTGAACAGGTCACATTTCTAAAATACTTAGCTGTTTCAAATGTCTCTGGTGGGCAGCACTGAGTCACTAATGCCACCTCCACAGCGTTTCAGGCTAGATTGACCTCTTTCTAGTTTTCAATGGAATTATTCCATGTAATCCTATTTACACGGCCATTTAATCAAAGTGAGAAAGGAGATTACAGAACTCACATTTGTTTTGCAAAGAGGGAGCAAGGATCATCAATCCTACTGACTCTCAAAGTGACTTGATAGTCCATCACCCTGCTTTGGAGTGTTGGACCTTAACCTGATCTGTCTCCTGTTTTCTTGTTTAAATAGGAAAGTTGGGGCTCTTTTCCTGAGAGAGGTTTCTCTACTCAGATCTCACCACTACAATTCCAACGAGCAGATGCTGCTATAAAAAGGAATAAGTTCCCCCCCCCTTGTTTATTATTCCCCAAAGCAGAAAGCGGGTACACACCAGGCCATTATAATTAAACTTTTCTTTGTTGCAAGCATCTTTAATATTTGCACCTCAACAGCACATTGTTGTGATTCCAGGTGTGGTGTTCAGTGCCTCGCCTAAAAACTAACCTGCTTGCAAGACCGCAGGCAGATTCTGCACTTCTTTTTCCCTACCTTAGTTACAGACTCTTGGAGAGTACTTTACTGAACACCTCCTTTAAGCTAGGCAATATCCCTTCCCCCTGCCCTCTTCTCACTGGTGAAAGGGGCTGACTCTTCCTATTGCCTTCTTAACGTGTACATCTCCAAGCTAGATATCTATTTCAAATACGACGCTAAGTGAGTCATTTAATAAAGCATTTGCAACACACTCACGATTCTAAACCGACGATATGGACAAATCCGCAATTTTCCTTTTTTCCCACCACTTCCACCCCTTCCACACATTTCAGGGATTTGCAATCTCCTACCGAACCTCTGGGCGGTGAAAGTGCAAGCCTTACCCAACCCGCAGTAGATAACACAGAACAATTCTGAAAGGGAGAAGTAGCCACCTCCACGGGAGAAGAGAACTGCTGATGGGGGTCACCTGGGCGGCCCTTTCTAAGAGACCAACCAGTTACTTGTTTCAAGGAAGAAAAAAATTTAATTGTACCCTGGGCAGTGCGTTACTCACAGTGCTTTCTGTATAGAGCACCATTTAGCGACACTGGGTATTATCTCAATAACTATCATTCGAGGTACCCATTTAAAAAAGAACTTTTCTTTTGTGGTGGAAGAAGGTGCACGCACTGTGGAGGCTGGACTCCATCTAGAGCTTTCTGGGCGGCCCACCCAGACCTGCAAACTAGGCAAACGCCGCCGCAGGGAGCCAAGCTTTCCCGGGCGGGTCGGGCAGTTTCCCCGCCCCGCCGAGCGCTGCCTTTTAGGAGCTAGGGGTTGGCTTGGCTCCCGCGGCTGCACCCGCGTCCGCGCCGCGTCCCGCGCCCCCACCCTCCCCGGGGGACTGCACAAATAAACCTGGCTTGCGAGAGCGAGCGAGGGTGGCGCATGGGGACCTGTTTCATAATCTCCCGGGATCCACGGGGAAAAATGTCTCCCGTGCGATGTCATTACATGCCTTCCCGTGATGACCTAAACTCCCGGGCCACAGAGCCAGCCGACTCTTCCATCTGATCGGGAATGCGGCTTTCGAATGACAGCTCCCAACTCCACCGCTGCGGCTCCAAACTTGACACGGGCTCGCTCTCATCACTCCCGTTCCTCTCCCCTCTCACCCGGATGGGTGGCGGGGACTCGCACGTCGCGCCTGCCTCCCCCCGCAACCCCACCCCCCCGCAACCCTCTTGGCTCACCGCGCGGGCGCAGCCCCGCATGTCCCGGCTGCCGGTCCCGGGGCGCGCCGGCCTCCCCGGGGCTCCGGGCGCGATTGTCTTGGAAAGCCTCCGAGCTCCCGAGCGTGCCCTACTCACTTGTGTCTTCTTCATAAGGAAAGGCAGCGCTGCGATCCAGCCCAGGCAGCGGTGTGGCGACTCCGTTTAGCTGTTCTGGAGCTCCAGCATATTGCACGAGCAGCGGCGGCAGATAGTCCAAGCATTGGGTAGCCCGAGCGCAGCGCCCTCCCCACGGCCCGTGCCTCCCGCGGCGCTCCCGGTCCCGGCGCGAGGCGGCGAGTGAAGCCCGGGCCGCCGCGCCGCCGGCGCTTTTATATCGCTCCCGCCCGCCTGCTCCGGACACGCCTCCTTCCCTTCCGGAGCCCCGGGGGGGAGAGGTGCGGGCCAGACGCGGCGGGAGCCCCCGGAGGGCGGTCAGAGTGCGGCGAAGGTCCCCGAAGTTGCACCGATCAGGCCTTTGCGTCCCTTGCCTGCCGGCTCCGGCGTGCACCGGCGGGAGGCCACGCGGGCGCGGGGAGCCTGGGGCGAAGCTTGGCAAACTGCGGGGCGCGGCGAGTCCCAGGCCGGCCTCCGGGCTCCGGCGGGGCTTTACCTGGCACCGCGCGGGGACAGACTGAAAACCTCGTGCGCTGGAGAGGCCCGGAGCCCGGTGTTTTATGCTGAGGCTACTGTGGAGGGAGAGGAGTTCGCTTCACCCCGCCCCGCCTTAGGGAAAAACATTTTTTAAAAGTTTAATTAGATCTATAGTCAGGCCGCCATTGTCTTACCCCTTCGAATTTTTTCATTCACAATGACTTTAGTGAATGAATCTTTAATAGTAAAGGAGTTATTGACTCAGGGTTAAGGACTGCTAAGCGAGAGACGCTATTTTCAGAATGATTTACTGCCGTGTCGTTAGAAATCAGAAAGAAAAACAGTCGATTATTAAGCGTGCAGATCGCCGACACAGCAGAGGTTTTCGAAAGCTCTACTTTTGAGAAATTTTTGAAATCGGAAAGACAATGAGAAAGTAATAATAATAGCTAACACCATTACGTGAGGTACTAATTTTTTATGGACCCTCCACCTGACTAAGAACTTTACATATATTATCTCATTAAATCTTTTCCATGGATCTATTGTATATATCCTGTTTTTTTTTAATTCCTGTTTTAGAAATGATGAAATACAGTCTTCAAGAGGTTAATGTCCCCCAAACAAACACATTCTAATTTAAATCTGAAGCCTTGGATGCACTGCCTTTTAAAAATACTTCAAACTGATATCTCACTGATTTTCCAAAACCTTCAACATTTATTCTTAAATTGGAGAACACTAAAAACTATTTTATTAGTTTTATAGAGAAAATGTTAACTAGACAATAACATCAGTAATCTTGAAATTATTTTCTTAAGGGTAAGATTCCAAATTTGCCTTAACTGGTTCAGTTGCTTTTGTTTCAAAAAATGTGCCAAACCTTTAGCTATTACAGAAAATCTGGGTAAAATTTGGGAACTCACTCATTGGCTTTTTATTGCTGTTGTAAAAATTTACCACAAATTAAGTGGTGTAAGACAACAAATTTGTCTTGGAGTTGGAGGTCAACAGTCCAATGTGGCTCTCACTGAGCTAAAATCAGCTGTTGGTGAGACTGCATTCCTTTTTTGGAGGCTTTGTGGGAGAACTCATTTCCTTGCCTTTCCAGCTTCTAAGAGTCTGATAGCATTGGTTGGCTCATAGCCGCCTTCATCTTCAAAGCTACTGATGCTCACATAAAACCAATCTCACCTTCTCTTCTATCTCCCAATTCTACTTCTAAGGATGGTTGTGTTTACATTGGCCCTACCTGGATAATCCAGGACAATCTCTTTAATTTGAAGTCAATCGTTTAGCAACTTTCTTTCCATCTACAGCCTTTAATTCTTCCTTGCCATGTAAATATCACGTAGCATAACATAGTGACAGGCTTAAGACATAGTATCCTTGGAGGGCTTTTTATTCTGCCTCCTCCATTCAACAGCAAACAAGTTCAGGGAGAACAGAAGCAGAAGTAGGGAGTGGGAATGTCAGTGTGCATCCTTCAAGTGCTTCACTCTGTGGGAACTTCCATCTGGGAGATTATCTCCAGCTCCATAGTTACAAAAATAAACATTTGAGAGAAAAGGACAAGAAGAAAAGTTGTAATCACTCAATAATTGCTTTTACTTTCAATCAAAAAAGGTACTGCAAGCCATTTTGAACAAGAGTAGAAAGAAGGCTGAAAATAGCCCTAAATACGACCAAATGGAAAAATCATTAAACTAATGTTCCCTTCTTGGGAATCCTAATCTTAACTCAGCCAGCCCTTAGATATCATTTTGCTTTGCCAGAAACGTCCAAACAGTTGCCATATATTATGCACAAAGGTTCTGTGCTCCTGAAATTTAGCCTTGTGCTCTAATGGGAAAGGAAATGATTTTGAGGAAGACTGGTTCTATTTCAGATTCTATTGCAGGCTCTAAGACCTGGCCTCAAAGGTTTGGCAGTGAGACATTCATAACTATAAAGGCCCCTGAGGTGATTTTTTAGGTGGTATACCTATGAATTTGTTTTGCAAGTAAGTATATATTAAAAAGTGTATTTTATACATGTGTTTAGATAGATAGTATATGACATGAGTCCAAGTTGATAGTTGATTAAAGCTTTTTATATATTATCTTTATCAAGAATTAGTATAAATAGGTAAGATATCAAATTTGAAAAAAGAGTTGCTTAATTATGATAGCTGAGGAATAGCAAATGCTTTTTTCCCTAACAGTCAAGTATTTTATTTGCCTCAGTTTTATAGGTATACTTGACATCCAACAATCAATAGGTGTACACAAAAATGTATGGGTGTACATTTACCATGTACAACATGTTTTGATGTATATATACATTGCAAATTGTTAAATCCAGCTAATTAACATTTATATTACTTTTCATTTTGAGTGAGGTGAGAATATTTAAAATCTACTTTCTTAGCAATTTGTAAGCATACAGTACATCAGTGTTAGCTGTGCATGCTATACAATAAACCTCTAGAATTTATTCATCTGAAGACTAAGTGAACCTTTGTACCCTTTGACCCCACCCCCTAGAAAAAGTGTTTAGTGCCAGTTTAAACTCAATTTAATGTATAACATTAAGTAAATAATGAGTAGTACTAAAGGAAGATGAATGTGACAAAATCAAGATGGTATGAGAGTTACTGAAGCCTGGGAAGCCCAGACCATATTAATTTTATGAGGCAAATAGAAAGGAATGACCTAATAAGTTGGGCTTGGTTTTAAGAAACCAGGCAGTGAATCTATTGGAAATTCAGTTTGATTTCTTTTCTTCCACACATTATATTTACCTTCTACAATGCACTTTTCCCTCTCATCTTCATCTCTACCTCCCATCCTCCACCACTCCGTGGCTCTAACTAAATTAATTTCCTTACTGATTTTTTTTTTCCAATAACTCTTGTCTTAGTTCCTTTCCTGTTGCTCTAAAAAGAGACTGGGTAATTAATAAGGAACAGAGGTTTATTTAACTCATCATTTTTGGACTGGAGAGCAGGGTACTGGCATCAGCTTGACATCTGGTGAGGGCTTCTTGCTGCATCATAACATAGTAGACTGCATCCTATGACTGAACAGCAAGCATGCCAGAGAGAGGTCATAAACCATAGCTGCTTCCATGGTACCTCATTAATTCATAAGTAGATTAGTGCATTCATGAGGCTAGAGTTCCCATGGCCCAATACCTCCCAAAGATCACACCTCTCAACCCAGCTGCATTGAGGACTAAGTATCCAACTATGAGTTCTGGGGGACACACTAGCAAATCTATTATCTTTTGTTTTCCTCATACTGCTACATTACTTTTGTTGTGTAATTAAGTTACTTAAAATTAAGTCAAAGGAATAGAAAGAAGACATCAAAGGCATTAAGAAGTGGCAAACCAAAGATTATAGGTAAGCTTACCCAGAGATCAGAAGAGGGTCAAGAAGAACAGGCATTCAGGCAGTACTGGGATTTGAACTCATGGGTTTGGGCTTGCTAAAAAGGTATACTGTCCCTTGAGCAACACCCCCTGAGAAAACAGACTTTAAAGCTGTCTTTTGAGAGCAGACAAAGACCACCATTCATTCCCTTAGCAGAAGAGAACCAAGAAGCTACTTAAAAGGTAATATGATGGTGCATGTCTGTAATCTCAGCACAGGAGGATCACAAGTTTCAGGTCAGCCTGAGTCATATAGTGAGACCCTGTCTCAAAAAAAAAAAAACCTCCAAAAGTTAATAGAAGGCAGGACTGTGTCCCAAGTGGACAGTCATGGGGATAGCTTCTCGTAGAAGCAGTAGCCTTCCATCATATAGCTCAGAGAGTCTGACGTGACATATTGAGTAGAAAGTCTTCCCATGATTATCTAGTCTTGCATTATTTTCAGTGCTAGTTGTTTCTTCATGCTTTGTTAAAAAATGAATCTATCAGGAAGTTTTTTTTAAGTGTTATCATTTTTGTTGCTGTTAGTTTAATTTAGTAAATAAATTTTCTAAATCTTGTTTTGTGCATATGAAACATCTTGTGTCCATACCACTTTGCAGCTATGCTCTTTAAAGCACACATACTGTTTTCATATCTTTCTTTTTAAAAAATGGCACCCTGAACCAAAACGGGTATTGTCTGACAAAACCAGACCAGAGGGAAGCTATCTACTCCCAATTTTTGGATGACTAGGGAAAAAGGGAGAAGAAAACGAATCACTCCTTGATTATGTAACTTCCTCTGCTAAAACTTCTTTGGTGATTTTCCATTGCTTTTGGGATGGAAGTTAGCATTTTAGCAAAGCCTTTCAAGCCTTCCAGGTTCTGACCTCATCCTGCCTTTCCAAAGTCAAATCATCGTGAGATCCCCTGTCCAGAGGCAAGGGCCTTCTCTCTGTCTCACATCTTCCTTCTGCCTTGGTTTGGACCACTTTTCTCCACCCAGTCATCTTTGCCTAATAAATACCAGCTCATCAGTTAGATCTCAACTTATGATTCCCTGCTCTCCCTTTATCAGGTAGACTTCCCCTGATCTCTTTGATTTGGTCAGTTTTCACTTACTAGAAACTCAAGCATAAATTCCCTCTTTTATACAAAACTGATGCATTTTACATTTGTTTGTGTGATTATTTGGTTGAAATCACTGGCTATGACTATGCTAGCTGGTTACTTCATCTTCAGTGTCTAGTGTAATACATAGAACACAGTGGCTCTTTTAAACATTTGTCTGATTAGGCACTGATGCCAGATATGAGCCAG